TTTTATCCCGACCAGATCATTATTGGCCAACAATCAGGGGAAATGAGAGGGGCAGAGGCATGGGCAGTATCATTTTCGCATTTTGATGTCCGATTACAGGCGGCAACGCTAACTAGAGCAGCAACAATAGAAAAAAAGGTACAAAAGGCAGCAGAGGCAACAGAAGCAACAACTATTATGACAGCGACTGGCTGAAGCAAAAGCAATTTGTTGCACTCACTCAGATACACAGATACATACGACTACCTACCAGATAGAATTGTATCTGTGAGAGACAACTCAATGCTCTTGGCTCTCTGCTGCTTTATATGTAACTATGAAAAATGGATCTGCTCCAGAAGATTTCAGTAATCTCGTTCGTCACACTTGGCCGCTCAAGTACAAATTTATGAAGACTCCGTCTCCGGACAGTCAGTCCACCCTTTTTCGACCATGTCCGAGTGGGTTTTATTAACTTGTTCTAGAGCTTCAAGAATGTCACGGTAGAGTGGCCAAAGTGTCAGTGGATAAGACATTCCAATGGCCCCCCGGTTATGGTTATGATGTAAGTTCAATAAATTTTCCATTGCAACAAAACGGCAGACAGACAGACAATGGCACCCGGCAATCAATGTTGCCTCAGCCTCTCGGCTTTGGCTCATTTGCATGGCAATCTTTTGCGAAATCCCAGCTAAATGATATCCCCCTTCTCTTCTCTTCTCTGTGAAGAAATGGGCGTGTTGTTGAAAGCGCAAAACAATTAATGTGATTGCGATGGGCTTAATGAACTTTGGTACAAAAAAATGTATATAGCCAAGTGGGAAAAAGGGAAAATCTGCGACTGTCTCCGATCGTTATCCCTTTCACATTCGATTTAGCATTTAACGATGCACGAAATCAGCCTCTCCGGTTGCCCATTTCCATTTCCACAGCGATTTCCACTTCCATCCCGACAATTTCCACACACATTTTTCAATTAATTAAACCAAAAATATTCCTGTTGCTTCTCTTTTGCTTCCCTTTCGTCCGGGGCCTTTTTACAATTGACGTAAAATATAATTAAAATTGTTCATGTCAATACGCAAAGCGAAATCGGAGTCGAGGGGCCGGGAAAAGGGGGGCACAAAAAGTCAACGCGATGCGACGCATTCAATCAATGCGTGGCAGACAAAATGCAAAATGCACTTTTATTGTATTTTAAAACAAATTGAAAAGCCAAACAATTCGCTGTAGAAAAAGTGTGGGCGGGAGGCAAAAAATGCAAATACCAAATAGTTGGATGCTCTGTAGAAAATTGTTAAAAATGGTTTTGAAAGGAGATTTAGAATTTTATTTAGCATGGAAAGAATTTATTTTAATCTTTACTAATTGTTGACTATTAAGTTTTCACAAAGATATTATTATTAAAAACGAAAACATATTTCTAAAGTCTTCGTTTACCTCTTTTTCCTAACATCATGTCCAAAACATCACCCAAAAATGTTTCTACTGACCTCGATCCCCATCCATTCATAAATTTAGCATGTTGCCCTGTCATATGATAATCAGAATTTATGGTTTAATTGTTAGATAATAGAGCAAAGAATTAATTCCCATGCTCCCAACACATAGCCCACCATATGTCAGTTGAGAGAATTATTCGGGTTAGGGTATTTTTCTGCATACATTGCTGTGTAATAATAAATATTTTGTTTGGCTTTGCTTATGTAGAGCTTCGCTTTTTGAAATGCTTTATGCTGCTATATGCCATTTTTTGTTGCATTTAATCTTGCATTACTCTCGTTGCAGCTTTGATTTTTCACTGCTGTTGTCGTTGGCATGTAAATGGGCCAAAAAGGGCGGGCGCGGTTTTTGTCGCTGCATTTTTACGCCTGCCTAGCTTTTTACTTTCACCAGCAACAAATATGCAAAATTGTCAAACACAAATGTTTGTATGAATTTCAGTTTCGATTGGCCCCCGCAGCAAAATGATGAATATGATCAATGTCGAGCAATCGATAACCGATATGCAGCTGCATTGCAACCCCCCAAACATCTTTTCACCTGCTGCCTTTCGCACAAAACGCGGCGTCAACATCATTATGGTGCTGCCTGATTTCTTTTGACGAAAGCGCAAAAATTTTCCTAATGATGCCGCGCAAATTCAACTGCAACTAACTGTTTGCAATACCCCCCCTTCCGTCCAACGATTTTCCACTGCAGTAATCTGGTCATGGCCAACGTGGATGATTGTTGACTTTTATGATTTCCATTTCTTAGCATTATTATGGACGTGTGGCAAATCAACAGCAAAACAGCAAATAGAAAACAGCAGCAGTAGCGGTAGCAGCAGCAGAGGTACAACAAAAAAATCAATAGAAATCCCCCGGTTAGATGGAAACTCTCCCCCGTTCAGCTGTTCATCTGCTGTGCGTATGCCATAAATCGTAACAATAACTACTTGCCACTTGGCCAGACAACGGGCAGACATCGAAGTCGGATTCGTATTCGCATTCGCATTCGTATTCGTATTCCAATTCGGACTCAAAGTTGGACATGGACATGGATGTGGACGTGGACATGGAGCCATGGACGCAGAAGGCGGCATACGATTTCACTTGACTGACAAACAGACATAAGCAAAGTGTTTGGCTTCACTCGCACCACTCGCATCATGTTATCCCCATATCCCTCAAGTGACTTTCTAAGCGATTCCGAATGCCTGCAACATGAAAAATGTGGAGCGAAGGCAGCAGTGCAGCAGCAGCAGCAGTGGCAGTAGCAAAAACAGCTCAATGCCATTATCATTGGGCATCATAGCCCCCAATTACTTGTAATATGCTGAGAGTACGTACAACGTACTATACGTACTGTATGGCTTCATAAAGCACCTGGAAATCGGGATCCTTGAGACTTTGGTGTACCGTCTTTGGTATGCGAGCTTCTTTTTTGTGATTATTGGGGATAATTTGCCTAGCCACGTGAATTATCTGCCATAAATTTGTAAACTACAGGTTTTACACAATACACTGCTGGATCTCAGGTTCTATTAGAGTTCGGGGAATCATTTTTGGTATGCGAAATTCTATGATGCTTGTGATTAAAGAAATGTTTTCCTTTTTATAACAATCCTAAATTTTTGATTATACTTCCTTATTGCTTATATTATGGAAATTTTCTTGGGAAAACTTAGTGGATCTCGGGATCCAAAAGAGTTTCGACTTCAAACTTGGTACACCATGTTTTTTCCTTGGTATCTTTTGGGCGCAACACACATCTTTCACTTTGATAAGGTTGTTCGGGTCATTTATCCACCACCCACCACATTCAACCCACCCGTCCTTCAACTCGTGTCCAGTGTTCCAGTGTAGTGTGCTCACAAATATTGTCCCACACAACTCATAAAAAGCCCATTTATAACTGTTAACTTGTACAAAAGTATTTACAGACGATTTAGCAGCTCACAGAATTACAGCCATCGCCACACAATTGCAATTGTTTATTTGTGTTTACTGCTCTCACACCGCCCACTTTGCCACCCCCTCCTCAATGAATTTAACCCCCCTTCAATGGCCTGCTACTTCTCCTTTGGCAACTACTCCATCCATCTCCCTTTTGGTAGCAATAAAAAGTGTTGTTATTTGTACAATGTTGTTTGTGTGTGCCCGAGTGTGTTTTTTGTTTTGTTTGCTATTATTATTGTTGCTATTATTACAGTTGTTGTTACATCGGTCGTTGTTTAGTGGCCAACACAGCTGCTGCTGACACGCAGAATTCAATGCAACAAAACGACGAAGAAGTGGAAGCCCAAGTGCAAAACAAAAGTAAAAAACAGGAAAAACAAATAAACCAGCAGTGGTAGCAAAAATCATCGGGAGAACTTAAAACACGGGTAGCATCCAAAGTTGGCTATTGTCCCATGGCCCATGCCTGAATAAACCAAAAGACAAGGGTATATGAACTTGCAAAGAGATGGGGCATTAAATGATAACATTTAGGAAGGTGTAAAAGGGCTTTCTGCCGCAAAAAACGATTACAGAATTAATCACTTCACTTGCAAAAGTGGCAAAAAGATGAGAAAATAATTTCTGAAAAATGTACATTTAAACCAAAACAACATGGTTAATTTTTTTTAAACAAATACAATGATAATTTTTTTGGGTTTTGTTTTTATTTGTAGCTTTAATTATTGTGTTATCCAAAAGGAATGAGAAATGCATGGTAATTAATTATTTTGCTACTCTTATTAATTTGAAACAATATGCTCAACGTTTTTCTGACCAAACCAAAAAAATACAACATATTTTTACATATTAACATATTAAAACATTCGAATATTAATTGCCTTTCGGCCAGTCTGATGAATAATTCTCAAGGCTTTAAATGAGCCGAGCTTATGGCCTCATAATTAGTTAGGTACACAACATTAGAATGTGGAGTAAATTCTGAAATTTAAGCCTCTTAGGGACTTAACCATACACCTAATATGAAACCTAATTATCGAAGCTATTACGAAAACGAATCGATAATGATAAATTGGAGAAGGTACCTAGTCCAACATCTCAACAGCTTAAAACCTCATTACGAGTGGAAAACGCACATTAGAATTCCTCATTTAATTCAATATTTAAAAGAGCTTATTACTAAAGCCCATTACATCAATATACCAGCAGCAGCAGCTCCAATATCATGAGCCCAAATGTACATAGAGAAAATTCTGAATTCTGCAAAGAGCTAGTTTGCATTGTTCGTATTTGTTTTTTCTTTAGTTGCAACAATTACTGCAGCGTAAAATAAAGGAAAAGTAAACAAATGCACTTTATCTGCTGGCCAACAGAGTGCAGAGCAGCATTTATAGGTGGAAAATGGGTTATGAAAAACAATTTGAAAAGGTATTAAATTTATGTCAGTCGCCGCCGCCCCTTTGGGTTGTTGTAAAATTTTATATGCATGTACGCAGAGAGCTGGTCGCTGTCAGCGGAATTTCTCATATTGATTTTGCTTTAAATAATAAAAACTCTTTTTTCCTCTCTTTGTTGCAGTGTGTGTGCAGCAGCAGCAGCGTTTAATGGCCAATGGATAAAGTGAGGTAAGTGAAACAAAAAGCCAGAAGGGGAACGTTTTTGTAGCATTGCTTATTAAAAATAGCTGGCCGGACAAAAAAAGAGTGAAGCTTAAAGTGCATGGACACAGAGACTGTGACTGAGACTGAGGCACAGACGCAGTCACGAGGCTTGTTGTAGTATTTTTCAAGAATTGGGACAACAAGGCGCATAAATAACCGACATGCCAACAAAAAGAAAAAGCCTGTAAAAAACTAAGCGAAACTCGCCAAGATACTGCACTTAGAATAGTAAACAAGCGATGGGGACTAGGGTTGGTACACAGACAGATTTTATTCAAAGCATGTAGGATATCTGTGAAATAAATTAAGTTTCAAGATAAAGTTTTGGGGCTTATTCTGGATTTTTTTGTTATTAGTTCAGTGGTTCAGTAAAAATATATCAAGGCTCTTGAAATTTTAAAATATCCTATTATTTATGATAATTTCGGAATTTATATAATTTTTTTACTACTACTTCTACTTCCCTTTTTAGGCGCTCTTTTATAAGTATAGATTTCTTTCTGTGTGGGTGCAAGGAGCGAGTGTGTGTAAAGGAATTGCAACTAAATACGAGAGCTAAGATGAAACGCAATGCATCTCGCCCCCGTCTCCCGCCCCCCGCGGCATTTCCCCTACCCCCTCCCCAACACTCAATCCACAGTGGGAGCAAAAAGAAAGCGCACATACCGGTTTTCCGCGGCCCAGAGACACTGCGAGTGCGAGTATAGTACACGGGGACAGGTTTATTTTCCCGTTGGGACTGTGTGACAAATCAAGCGAGAAGCGAGAGCGAAGACAACAACCGCGACCAGAAGAAAAACGTAAAAAAAATGTACAGAAGACATAGCCTTCGTGCGCGAAAAACGTCAATGGCCAGGAAAATTCTGAGGGGGGTGGGTTGTCAGGGAAAACTGTGTGCAAGAGGGACGCCGCACAGCTGCGACGCTCTGCGTAATGGCAGCAGGAAATTGAAAAAAAGTTGCCGCGCGCTCACCTTTGGGCGGCTTCTGTTGCATTTCCTTGCCTGTTCTTGGCGCTTTTCTTTTCCACGAGGTATTCGGAGGAAAATCGGGGTAGATATTTTGCAACTAAGTGAAACAAGTTTTAAATTAAATTAAAAGAGATATTAAATATTATTTGTTTGGTTTATACTTTGCCATTTCAAAGTTCCTTTGAAAACTTCCAATGTACATTTTAAAATAAAGTTTTAAAATTTTTATTCTCAATAAAAACCTAATTTAAATATATTTTAAATTTAGTAACCCATAATACTTTAAAAATATACCATATAATCTATAAATACCCATAACAAGCTTGGTTTTAATAAATATTATTTTTGCATTCACCTTTATTTATGGTCTACACTTTATGATATTGTCTAACAATTAACCATTCAATAAAATGATCTGCAAAATATATATTTTTTCGGGTTAACTTTCCAGCTGTCGGCTATATAAAAACAAATTGGATAATAAAAAACACATTTATTGCAGTATTTATATAGCTGTTTTGAAAGGAAATCCAATTTTATGCAGTTTGTTATTTTTAGTAGTAAATGCCTAGAGCGAGGTATCTTTTAGTCGATTTTGTTCGTTTATTTAGCATTTTTTCATGCACTTGACAGTCGTTTCCACCTTAACCGCCTAGGAAAGAGTGTCAAAAGTCAAACACTCTTGCTTGTCTCAGCCCCGATCTTTTGAGTTGTGGTAGTCACACAGAGACACAGTTTTTTCGGTGATTTATGATACTTTACTTTGGCTAGCTAAAACTAGCTTTGAAGTCCCTGGCCAAGAATTGAAGGAACACTATTGGAGAGTATCATCACCACCAACATCACCAACCATTTTTTCCCAACTCTTATAATAAAGTTTAAAAATTTTTTTATTTTCCGAAGGAAAATTCATACTTTTATTGATTTGAGATAAAAGGTTTTTTAAAAACTATTTTTAGTTTTAATACTAGCTTTATAAAATAATTCATATATCGTTGACAATTTGAAGTAGTCGTCTAATACTAAATAATATTTTTAGCACAAATTAAATGCCTCTCCTCGTTTATCTTTTATATCACAAACTATGCTCCTGAATTATTCCCTATGGCTTTCTGGAGTGTAAATAATATTTAAAAAATTATTTAAATCGTGTGCCTCAGAAGTCTAGATTTTCTCGTTTGCCTCTGTTGAGTTATAATACTCTTAATAATACTTAAAAGGGCTGCTAATTAATTAATTAATGACTTCCGCGTTCTGGTTGATAATACCCTATAGCTTGCCGATTTCCTGTAGAAACGTTCGCTTGCGTTTCTGCTGCTTCTCGAGCTGCCTTTGCATATTGCTGCGCAATCGGTCGCGATACTCCCGTTCCCGGTCCAAGGCACTCATCTGCTGGGACGAGGCCTCCGCGTCGAACTCCAGGTCAAAGGCCGTCTCCCATTGGCGACGCTGCTGCAGCTGGATGAGCTCGTTTGTCAGCTGCAGCTTGGTGCTCGCTATCCGCATCATCTTGCGCTTGGGGCGACCCAACTCCCTTCGATGCAGATAGAGGGCATAGCTCACGGATTTCTCCGCCCGCTGGGAGTTGCCACCGTAGTAGTAGTTGTTAGAATAGTCAGACATTTTCCTGAATTTTTCTTGAATTCTATGCAAATCGAAACGCTCTCGTCGCTGGTTTGAGGCAAAATGATGCAATCAGTGCGTGTGCGGGCGACTTTTAAGTCAGCCCAGGTAGATAGATCGATCAGGTGGTTTTCCCAGGCTAAAAAAGCCTTTTCTCAGGTATGCAAAAATCCTCAATTTATTGCTACATATTGTAACTGAAGAGCTCAATTAGCTGAGGGGCGGAAAGGGCGGTGGGATGGAGTACCTGAACCTGAGTGCCTGAAGCTAATCTCGCGCCGCGACTTGAACTGATTACGTTTTTCAGCTCAGTTCTTGCCACCGGTGTCGTCGTCGCCAGCAGGCAGAATATCAGAATAGAGAGCTCCCGGGTTCAATGCGAATGCAAATGCGCTTTGCATGTTGCCGCTAATTGGCAACAGTTGTCGATGCTACTGTTCTTTCGCTGCCACATGCTCGAGACTCTCTGCACTTGGAAAAAATAATGGTCCTAAGACTGCTTATAGTAGGGGTATAAAAGTCTCGAGATCCCAATCATAGATTGTGAATGTAAAAGTGCGCCTCTAAAGTTAAAGAAAGAAAGCTTGACCGATTTATGGCAATTTATTCTTTTGGGAATAGAAACATTATTTTGAAAATTACTCAACCTTTCTCTTTGGTTTTGCCTTCAAGCTAGGAAAATTCGAGATTTACGAGCTTATGAAAACCATAAACTTATTTAAGTCAAACTAATGGTTTTATAAAAACCTAATGACTTAAAAGTATCCTGGATTAATCTGCTGCAATCTTTAAAGGGGGTCGCGGTTGTTAAATGTAAAATCACGATTCTATTTTCTTTCCTTTAATGCCGTGCTAATAATAGTAATATTAATAACTTTGTTCTTAAATGATAGCTCAGAAAATATAAAGTTTAAAGTAATGTAAAGATTATATTTTTCGATTAGTCTTAATGTTATTTTATTATTATTTTAAGAAACTGTTATAACATGCTTTTAAAAGAAGAAATTTGGAAATTCTTTTCATATTTAGATTTAAATTTATTTATTTAATATATCATATTTTTATATTTTTCAAAATATATTTTAGTTTTGTTACGAACTAAGATTTCTTTAAAATTCTGCACGTTTTTATTCTTTTATTAAGCGTGGCAATAGGAAACAGCTTTATTTCCCAGAACAGAATAGAATACCTACGAAATCAGATTTTGTCTTTTTTTCAAGGTCTGATATATATTTAATCCCAAGACGTCATTAATTATTCACAATTAGTTCTCCGTTTACTAGAGCATATTCTCGCTTTTAGACATTTTGTGTTAGTGTATATATGTTCAGTTCTTTTTTCCCCAGCTGGACGTGACCCGCATGATTAATGAACGCCGTTATGCTTTTACGGCGAATATCGAAGCGGCCCTGCGAGTTTAGTGTCCATGTCCATATCCACATGTGTGTAATTCGAGCGCATGCGTGGCTGCCTTTAGAGGTGTTGCATAAGTCGGCGCCATAAAATGAACCGGCAGAAAAACAATAAAACACCAGCAAATTAGAAATTACCTTTGATGTGCAATACGAGGTAACGTAGATAACAAAAACTACGAAAAAGAAGAAAAAATGGTAACAAATTTACACACAATGGGCAGTTAGTCGGCTGTGTGGAAGGGGCATTGCCTTGTGGCAAATGTGCGTGGCATTACATCAGCGATTTCTTTTGGCCAACTCTGCCTCGGCGGCCTCTTTAGGCCCGGGTTAAATCGGAACTGTAGTTGCCAAGCCGGGGTTAAATCGGAACTGCCAAAGGCGGTGAGGAAATGCTGCAGATATTACCAAGTGTTTTCCCTTTAGTTGAGGAAAAGCTACTGCTAATTAACCCACATGATTCGAGAGTGTGAAGTGTGAAAATTGCTCTCCAGCTTTCCCAGTTCTCCGAGTGCAAAAAAAGCTACAACTTTTGCTGTCCAGCTGCATTACAATGTTATCCAAATGACAATACGCAAAATGTATATATAGTATATCTCCCTAAAAAGTTTTCCGGGTGGGCGACAAATTTTGCAACTGGCAAAACTCCATCCATGTAACAACCAAAAAAAATATCACACAGAAAAATATAACTATAACAAACAAAAACGAGATGAAAAAGGAATACATTTTCCACATCAAAATGCACATAAATAATAAATGGAAGCAGCCAAACGACCAGAACAGGAACTCGGAACCTCAAACAAAAGCGAATCGAGATGCCCAGAATCGTGGCGAACTGAAAACTGAAACTGAAAACCGAGAACTGAAAACTGAAAAACAGAGAAAATGTTGGTCAACAGAGGCGGAGCTTTTGTTTTTTCGGGACAATTGTTAATAATGAAAGCGCTGGGCAAAAATTATGAAATTAATTTTCCAATTTTAATTATGCAACAGTTGCAACAGAGGCGCTCCTCAAAATGCAAATTGACTGGCACATGCAGAAAGTTGTGCTGGAGTGGATGAGGAGTCGAGTCGAGAATCCCTTTTGTGGCTGCATTGCCCAGTGGATTACCCCACTCCACCTACCATTCAATTATGGCCAACACACAGATACACACATTCGCATGCAGGCACGCATCCGTGAGATTTTCGGTCCGACGGTCTGCTGCTCAACTTTGATTAGAGTTAAGCCCTAAATTAGTTGCTGCCGTTGGCTGCGTTGATGGCACGACCTTTAGGCCGCGTTAATGCTTCCTCTTTGGTTAGTGGGAAGTGGGAATGTGCTTCTCGATGAAGTCATCGAGATGGTAACGGATATGGAGTGGGTAGCTCAGATTTTACATTGATATATGAACTTAAGCCTAAGAAAGAGACAATTTTCTAGGAAAAATTAATTGTGATGTGAATTTGTTTACTTAAAAATATTATACAGATCTTTGAAGTTTATCTATAGTTATTAGATATTAAAAAATAATATTCTGTTGAGAGTATTAAATAATATTTATTAATTATTATTTTGTTCCAAAATATTGTAAAATATACCAAATATTCTAAATTTCAACTATATCATTTTATTTCAAAAATTTTTTTTTAATTATTTAAATGTATTTTTGTGTTCTTTCTTGTTATGTGTTTTATTTTATTTTTTAAATTTCAGCCTATTTTAGACTTCGGATAAAATTCAAATTTAGCCTAAAATTCAGCCTAAAATTATTATTTAAATATTATTTTGTAAAATTTTTGCTAGAATATCCTTCCATTTTCGCATCGCTTTAAAGGTATCCCTCTGTCGGTTGTGGTTAATCCAGTTGAAGTGGACTTTTGGGTCACAGATTGGGATGTCGTTAGAGGGCCGCCAACACACAAATTCGCAATCCAATCCAATCCAATCCGGCGTAAACAATTCGAGTGTTAATCGTTCCAATTCCGCATCTGCCGGCGGACAAGGCCGAGAACAACAGCAACAACAATGGCCGGAACAAATCTGAACGGAAGAGCTAGAGCGGCACTTCCGAAACTTAGTTGATGCCAACTTATTAGCGAACACCGTTTAATGGGCCCAATTAATGTCAACCAAGTTGGCGGCGTGTTTGGCCAGTGATTTCTGGGCGATTTTCTGTGGGCGCCTTTGGGCCAACGCGAGTGAAATTCAGTCGAAACGAAACGAAAGTTTTCGCTGGCCATTGATTGCCCCGCTTCGCTGCACGCGAACAAAATAAAGCCAAAGTCCGCATCGGCAAAACTTTTTCGGATTGAACATTTGTAGAAATGCATAAAAATTAATTAACAAGCAGATGCCGCCGCTTCAGTTTTTTGTCTAAAAATTATTATTGGCCATTCCGAAGCTGGTAGGAAAAATTAAAGCAGAAGCTAAAGCATAAGAATTTTTAATTGGCTTTTCTGCTTCATCTTCTCCCCGGCTATTGTTGCTATTATTCTTCTGTTGTATTTGTTGTCTTTCCTACTCAATGCCGTCGTCATCGTCGACTTCTCGCACATTTAAGCCTAATTAACTTTCTACTTAGAGCTCAGTTTTCATCTTCTCACTGCCGAGGAGAGTGGAGATGCACTGGGCGAAAAAAGGGGGGACCAGAGGTGGAAATAAAATATTTAATGCATCTGTTGTTATCATCTAAAATGTATTTTAATTTTTATAAAATCAATTTAAATAACAACCAAAATATTAATAAGTATTTACCTTTTAAACTAGTTTAAAATATTATTAAAAATAATAAATGATTTTTTATATTATTTTAATAGTTGTCTAGCTACTGAAGTTTAACTCTACATTCCATTAAACTTAACTTTTATATTTATTATATTATTATTAGGCTTTCATTTCAATCATAGAATGTAAACTTTATTTTTATAATTTTATAAATTTTCCTTCAATTTAATTAAAAGGTTTTTGAAGTAGTATTAATTTTTAACATAATTTTGTATAACTTTTTAGTGTAGGCCTTCTCCTTCTGAATTCGCTTCATTCCTTGGCTTTGGCTTTCCGTGCATTTTGCATTGTTGGCTTTTTGTTTTAGCCCCTTTCGTCCCGTTGTTGTACTTCATTGTGCTGGCCGCCTTTTGGTGCTTTTTAGCTGCTTTTTTAGCTTTTTCTACTTTTGCACTGCGTCAACTTCTAATTTCATTTGAAGCCTCCGCTGTTGGCTTTGATGATGATGCCAGGGCCAAGCGCAGAACTTGCTTTTTCTACTGCTGCTACTACTGTCGCTGCTTCTGCTGCTCGAACGTGGCTAACAAGGTGAAAAGTAGGTGAATGTTAAGCAGCGGCACCAACAATGTTGGGAAAAACAAAAGAAAAATGGCAACAACACCAACAATGACAAAGAGTAAACAACATTTAGCGAAAGAGTAGAGTGGAGTGGTGGAGAAAAAAAAACAAGACGACACACAAACATAACAACAAAGGCAGAAGACAAAACGTGCCAAAAAAGGGTTAGAGCCAAAAACAAAAGACAAACAAACAAACATATTAACGTAAAATGTTGTTGGCCCGCCGATGTTGCCGCTGTACATGTTGCTGTTGCTGAT